GCTCACACTCAGTGTCCGTAGTGGGACAAGTTTCTGAGTTATTTGGGACATTACACATCATCTCTTCATAAGCAGAGCTCTTCTTCAGATTTCCTAAACAAAGAATAAAGAATACACGTTTTAATTTCACAGACAGGATAAATCATACCATATGCAAGCCTGGACAGTGGTTACATCAAACTCTTATCCTTTAGGTATTAAAATAAGAGCTCATCCTCTTCCCTCCCTTCTCACCCTTGCCTGTGATACCTGCCAGGCAGAGCCAAACACCATAACATTAAAAAAAAAAAATAATGAAAAAAGCTGTAAAAAAAAGGCAGGAAGATCCAGATGTTTTGCATTTTCCCTGGAAAACACACAGGTTTATACATTCATAGCTTTAAAAGCATGTTCCACTTCTTAATAAAGATCTCAAGAATGAAATCAGCACAATATTTAACAAGGGTTCAGGGCAAAACCCTGCCAAGAGGCTTCTGAACCTGAAATATGAAGTCACTGAATTTAAAACACTGATCTAAACCAGACCACATCTGCAGGATTTTAGAGCCCAGTTCTCAAACACAGCTATGTACCATCCCCATATGAAGGCCATGACCACCATGCCCATGACAGGCACCAACTGGTAAAATCACCATCAGAAAGGAAAAAGCTTTTTCACTTGTGTTGTATTATTAAGACATCCCTCTCAGTTTACCTTGTGAAATAAATTAGTGAGAAGACTAGAGGGAATGGTCATAAGCTGAGACAGGGGAGATTCAGATTAGATGTTAAGAAAAATGTTTTCCCTGTTAGGGTGTTCAGGCCCTGGAATAGGTTGCCCAGGGAGGTGGTGGAGTCACCATCCCTGGAAGTGTTTTAGAGGTGCCTGGATCTGGTGCTGGGATGTGTTTTAGGGTTTACATCAGTGGCAGATAATGGTTGGACTCTGTGATCTCAGAGGTCTCCTCCAACCCTGATGATTCTATGATCAGATATTTCACTGGGGCATTTCACCAAAGTGCTGTGTGCTGCTTTTAAGATCAGTGTCTTGGGACCACCCACAGCAGTAGTGTTCATGAACAGCACATTGCTGCTACTGTCCCATGCTCTGCCTACACTCTCTACCAAGAATTCCTGTGTCTCTGCCATCGCCTCAGCTTTTCCTCCCTGAAGGAATGTCATTCTTCTTACCACTTGTCACACATTCCTCTTCCTGCCTACACTTTTCCAGGGTGAGTACCAACTGCCAGTCCTGCCCTGTGTCCCTTCTGTGCCAGAAGGCTGCTAAGAGCATTCAAACAAGCTCCATCTGTCACAAGGATGAAAGAAAGCAACTTGGCTACAGCAGGTCCCGTGAAAGAACTGCAAAGTGACACAATCATCGCGTTCATCCCAACATGGGTGAAGTCAGAGCACAGTAAAAATTCATCTCTTGTCCAGACAAGTGCAGTGATATTATTGACTTAGAAAGTCTTGGCTATTGCTGACACACATCTTAAAGTGGTAAATTAAATTTCTGTGAGACTGCCCAAATGGACTTCTTAGCACAAAGCAGTAATAATTCAGCAATTAGCAAAAAGAAAGGCATATAAAGAAGAGGAGAATATGTATTTATTTGAACAAGTGTCCTTCTCCATTTTCTATATGAATCCTGAAATATGCATTTCCAGACCAGCAGGCAAAAATTTAGCTTTCCTAACACCTGCATTAATATTGATTATACTTTCTGTAAGGTCAATGCAGATGCAACAACTACAATAATTGCTTGTATAATACCAGATTTAGCTTCTACAAGAAGGACAAAACCTTTTTGAGAGTTCAGAACGGGGAGGGGAAAATGAAAATGCCTGTGCATTGCAGGATTGCTGCATCTCTGCCAAGGTGACAAAGATAATTAACCTACAAGCAGGTGGAGAAAACATGACGTTCGAGACTCGGCATGTGTGCTACATGCAATGCTGG